ATAATTTGCTCATGTATACGTTTCCCAAAAGATGGGATAGCTACAATTCCATAGGAAGTCCAAATATTTGTTCATAGATGGTCCCGTTAAATGTAAAAAAAGTTGTCCTTATTATCATGTTGATTAGTCGTGTTAACGACTCCCTTCTAATCCTTTGTTATTCCAAGATTTCCAGCAAGACCGCTAGCTCATTTTCTCCAGAGATATCTATATAGATTGATTCTACACCACAACTTACCAATAAGTCTGCTTCTTCCAGCGCCATGTTTTTTTATTATTTGCGAAAATTCACATAAATGCTTTACCGTTTTGTATAGTCTGTAATTTAATTTCTTGTGCTTCAAACATATGAACTTTGCTAATTTGTATAGAATTTGTCCGACCTCTGTTTCGCAACTTGGTCATATTAGCAGGAAGACCTAAAGGAACACACCTTGTACGGAGTCCATAGTATGCATGATCATTTCCCGAGTCGGACCGTGGACTTGATACATTCCCAGACATTTTGCCGGCAGCATAGTCGACATCATCAGTAAGTCTTGCCAGTCTCAGCTTCCAAGCTACAATTCGTGAATTCAATCTCTTGACCAACTTTCTGTCGAGACGGTTATGCTATCACTCCTCGTTTTGCCCTGGTCCCCCCATCTTGCCCTCTAGTCTCGCCTTCATCCTATCACAATTTCTGATATGTTTATATTCCACAAGAGATGTGCCCTTTTAGCGAATTTACCGTGGCGTCATCACACCTTCTGTTTGCCTTGCTCCACTCCATTTCTAGTCTCCTGTCCGGATCTTCCTCATGGGCGCGTAGGTCCGTTTATTATCTTTCCGGTTGACCAATTTCACTCGGTTCCAGTCTCAGCGTACTTTTACTCCGAGCTATTTCTCAAGCCTTCAGTAGCACGTACAAAGTCGCCTTATCTTCAGAGCGCCTAGGCTCTCATTCCCATGCCTGCGGATATTAGGCATTACCTTCACACATCCTCTCCTCGATAAAGCCGGTGTACCCTGAGCAAACTGAGGACATCTATTCTGGTCGCCAGCTGCATCTCAAGTGGATTATTAGCCTATTTGGCCACAATGTCCGATTTCTGTGACCCAATCCTTCACCCTAGTCACTTGAAATGTCGGGCCCCCAAGTTGTAGTTGTCTATTCGAGCTGACTAAACTCACTGAAAACGTCTTCGCTTCATTTCCGAAACCTCCTCACCCTCTTCTTTTTTGCGATCCCTTTCACTTAAGTTTACGATAGATTCTTTATGCAGGCATCTACTTCTTGCCGTCCTGTTTCGTTCCTGTTTTCTCAGAGGTTGATTAGGATCTATAGTAAAACAGAGGAAAAGGGATCGCAAAGAAGAAGACGAGGAGGATTCGGAAATCAAGTGAGAACGTTTTCAGTGAATGTAGTCAGCTCGAATAGACAGCTACAACTTGGGTGTCCGACGTTTCACGTTTCACGAAATGAGACCTCGATCATATAAAAGACCATACCATCCTGGTCTTCAGACCTTGATAATGTTTGTCTTTTTCCATACTTGTTTTTGGCTCTCAGCCTTACTAGTTTACCTTCTTTGTGTATCTTCATCAATCCGTAGACTGTTGCTGTTCGTGCATCCTTTCTTACGTTTGAATTTCTTTTTCATGCGCCAATCTCCCCGCTCCTATACATTTCTTTCAGCATGTCACTTAATATTTCATTGATCTTCATAGTTGGGTCCTTCTTTAATTTTTGATATATAGTCCAGTCTCGTAGAATTTATTGCATCTTCTCGGTATAATGTTTTTTGTCCATTATTACAATGGCCCCTTCTTTCTCCGTCTAAAGAACTAATTCTTTATTCGTTTCCAGAGTCTTGCATATCCTGGCAAATCTGTTCCTGTGCGTTGGTTCTTGATGTGTCAACATCTTTGTAATTGGTTCCATCTTCATTTCCCGTTTTGTCTCCTCAGGGAATTTTTAAGAGTTATTGATCACCTCCATCAGGGTGTCTCCTAAAAGGCTTATGTTTTTTTGAATGAAAAATTGAGTCCTTTTTCCAGGATCGTGGTTGTTTCGGGGTTATGAGGAAATGATGATAAATTCATTACTTTATTTCTATTGTCGTGCTGATCAGTAGATGTTGTCACCTCGGAAACCACCTTAATTTATGTTGTTTTATAATCCCATATTTACGAAATTTATCGTCTTGTCCTTTTTTTTATTAAGTCAGAGACAACTTTTGGGAATCAAGTCTATTTGAAATTCAATAGAAGCGTAAGGTCTACTCATATTACTGTGGGAAAATTCAACTTTCAGTCATTCATAACCTTAACAAAGTAAGATGAATACATCTCATATATTCTCTCTAGTATCTTATTCATATCTTATATCCAGCTACTTATAACTTTTGTACTCAACTTTCTTAACATTCATTTTTTCTTTTATCTACTCTTTGATTATTAGAATGGCAAGTTTGACAAGCCTAAGGGTGAAACATGAAAACATAGTCTTTTAATAGCTAAATCTTGATAACTAGTCATATTTCTTTAAAAGTAGACATAACCCAAGCAAGTTTTAAGGTCCCCTTGAAAACTGTTTTTATTCCTCACTTATCCATTAGTTTGCCTATATTCTTAGAAAAAAAGCTTGACTGCAAAATAGGACACGATAACAGCTCCAAGCCTGCCTTTCCCTGACTCAATAGTCTTCGTCTAAAAATTTGTTTCTTGTTAAAGAGATATTTTCAGTTGAACCAGAGGGATAATTACTGTCCAGGAATAAACTTTTCAGCTTTCCAAACTTTGCAGTTCACTGATTCATATTGTCAGGACTCATATCTCCAAAAATCCGTGACTTTAAAATTTTAACTCAAGTTATGTTTTTTGGCTAGGAATAAAATTTTGAATATTCCGGTTTCTTATAAACATCTCTGTGGTCTCCCTCCGTCACATAGAACTGGTTTGATCTCTTTTTTTGCAACTTAGTCTTATTTTCAGGTTGACCTAGATCAACACATCTTGTCAGGAGTCTTCCGCCACAGAATCCATGATCATTTCCAGCTTCGGATCGTGGACTTTGTACCGGGAGTGTAACAGTTCCATTGTCCGACGTTGAAAATTATCATGTATACTATTGCAGACGACTCCTGACAAGGTGTTTTAATCTTGGTCTCCCCGACAATATGACCAAGGTACTAAAACGAGGTCAAATCAGTTCGATCTCTGCCTAACTTACTATCTTCACTAGCAATCAAAGCATCCAGAACTCTTATCATTCTCTAAATTCATGTTGAACTTGATAATATTTTCACGTCGGCTAAGTAAAATTATGCAACTATGTAATCTCTCCATGCCGCCAAATGACAAAGTCGACATTCATCTATCTAATTAACAGTGCAGAGGTTTGTATTACCTCTTTCATTTAGTGTTCCTTAAATTTCGATATGCTATCGGGAGCCAGACGAGATTTCAATGCGAGTCTTTGCGTCCGTTCATAAATATCCTGAATAATTACTGGCCATAGGTAAGTTGATAAACCGTAGAATGTTGAATAACTTAATTTTACTCTTTTCATTCTCAGAGTTTTTTATCTTTAATCGTTTCGCTATTAGAGTATAGCAAGATTACAAGTAGGCATATACTAGCTTTGAATATATTAGTTGCATTCACACCATTTCGTTTGAGGTCTCAAAAACTTACTCATTTAGTCTTAAATACTCAGGATCTCATTTTCTTTCATACTTTCCTTCATCCTGTTTTGTAAAGTGAAACCGATTATCTGGTTTTACCTGTCGATTTTGTCGCCGATCCTACTGGCCAATTCGTTTCTGCCTCCCTGTCTTCAACCGCTCCGTCTTCTCAGTCCTTCAGCTCCGATACATGTATTGACTCAGCCACCTTTGGCACTAAGACTGCTGGCCAGTTGGGACAGCCTCATTCACACCTGCCACCGGTTAGCGTACAAAATGCTAGCTCCATTGGGATACTGCCTAATTCAGTCTCGACGCCATCATCTGCTTTCACTATATGGTCTGCGCTTTCTCAGCAAACCGGTGTCTTGAGTGGATCTTCTGCTGCAGCTAATGCTCTCAATTCTTCTGGTTCCGGGACTGGGACTGGGCCCGTCGGCTCAGTCCCTGTCAACAGTTGTCTGTCTCCTAGCCCAGTGGCTGCTCTGCTGCCCAGAGAAAATGCCCGCGACCTTATAAAGCTATTGATGCCGTTACTGCGCTGTGAGCAGATGGAATTGCGAGAGTCAGCTATTGCTGCACTTGGGCGCATAAACCCCGGGGCTTTTCGGTGAGTCCTACATGATAACTTCATTGCAGTAGGGCCAATTGACTACTATCTAAATGTGCCAAGCTTTCTTTCTGTCATAGAGATACAAACTATCTTAAAGTTAGAAATTTAACATATGTATAATATATATTTCAATGCACCTATTTTACAAAAAATGTGTTTGATTTCCACCGGTGGCTTGACCCAACTTTGCTTTGAATCAAAATAATGAAATTTGAAGATATGAAGGCCAAGATGTTGTGGCCTATGGTATGATCACAGTCTCCTTTCGACTTATATAAGTGGGTTGGCCTCGTTGTTGCAACTTGGTTTTGTTGTCAGAGGGGCTTAGTAGAACGCACCTAGTCCGAAGTTATCTGCCATAGTAGTTATAATGATTCCCAGCATCAGACAGTCGACTTGGTACATTCTCACTCTGCAAGAAAATGGATACCGAAAGATTAGAGTTAGTGGAACGCCTTGTATAGACTGAACATGAGATCAATTGGAATGCGAAACGTCTGAGAATCTACCAAGTCCATTGTCTGATGATGGGAATCATGACAACTACTATGGCAGCCGACTTCGGACTAGGTGCATTCTACTAAGTCGCCCTGACGACAAGACCAAGTTGCGACCACGAGGTCAACCCACTTCCATAATGAGATTTGGCTTATACAGTAAAAATGGGCGTTTCCCCCAATTTGACTAATTGAAATATTTCTGCTTATCATTAAACGTAGAAAATTTAGTCTTGTTTAAGATTATTAGGAGGATGACTAGACCGACTTTCAAACACATCAAGACTTGCCCACAGTAAATATAGCTTGATTACATGCAAAAGTAGCATAGTCTACTTGAAAATATGATTAACAATATAAAAAGGCTAAATTTCTCTAAAAATTAGTACCATCTAAGATTTATTTCTAGATTAAACTGCCCAAGAGTTATGGCCAGATTGAACAACCTTCTTTAATTTAATCTGACCGCTCACTTATTCCAAAAGGATGTGAAGTTTGCTTTAAATTTTATGAGACGTTATGTTAACCAGAAATTCATCTTTGGGTTTGGTTAGTCGGTTTGACCTCGGGGTGTCAGTAATGCTTCTTTTGCAATAGTAAGCATGCTAATTTATAGTATCGAATTTCCAGATGTGTCACCAATATCTTCAGTGTATAGAGGTTAAATGCTGGTAACTATCAATGCTAATATGGCTAACTAGTTTTTATAAATATTTTGAACATCTTGACCAATTTATGAAAACGAGGGCAAACCAAATTGATGCAGCTAAGGCCACATTCTTTTTTATTTCCGTTTCTTTGTTAATATTAATTAAGATGCTTGGGCTTCGGCTTAGAAGGATCTTCATAAGATGTATATAAAATTTCATATTCCTTAGGCGTCTATCAGTAATCAGATTCATTTTAAAAAGAAGTTTTGAAATTTAGCTATTAAATCTAGACAAATCTTAAGAAGTGTTGATTACTAGCCGAATTTACTCACTTCCTATACCCAAATTTCTCATTATAATGAGGCATCCTATAAGTTTGTCGACTTTTTTATGACTAGCATATATCCTTGCAGGTGGAAGAAGTTGCTGAATGGAAAATAAGGGAATCTAGCAGCACTCGTTTCCTTGCTTAAATAAATCTACTTGTCTTTAATTAATCATGTCTACATCCATCCCCTATTTTTTGGCTCAGCCTTTTTCAAGCTGTTTTGTGTTCAGCTAACCTATTATATATAGGTAAGCTGTTCTTCCTTGCATAGACATCATCACATGAACACATAAAATTGTGACACTAATCTATAGAAAAAAGGACTCGAAAATTATCGAAAAGAAGGCATAGCTGAGATTATTTTTAGTTTATCTTTCTATATTGTCCTGCTGTTCCAATTCCCCAGTAGTTTATCCACCTTTTTCGAAAGCTGACAACATCAGGAAATAAGTATGATCTATTTACTTGTCCTGTCCTACATACTTATTTTCATGAGTCCCATTTATGCTTTATCAAAATTAATTGTCTACAAATCCTATTGAATAATTATTTTGCCCGTTGTTTACACTAGCGATATTCGGACTACATAACACCTACTTTGATCCCATATGTATGAAACCCACATGGAAGAGTTTCCTGAATGCATTTTTAGCCATTTTAGGGCCTTTTTTATTCATCAAGACCAAGCATCAATATGCATAAGAATTAAGAAAACAATTGCTACTGCATTCAATTCCTCCCCCATCTGTTAGAATGTAGGCTAGGCATGAAATATCTAACCAACTCATGGGATGTTTTATTAGGATCGCAAAGTTAGGTATATTAAGTGAAGGTGATCGCAACGGGCCTCTTATATTTCTTCCTTTATTTCACAATTTCTCTTCAAGTAACTTTGCCCTTGAAATTAAAATTAACACCACAATAAATTTGAAAGCAATCAACTCTGATTACCATCATACTTACTCTTTGAGTACCACAGAATCGCCTATGGTAAAAATACTGAAGATGTGTTTGGTATTCTTTTGATTTTGATAATTTATGTTTGATGTGAGCTAGATAATTATTTAAAAAGATTGAAAAATTTTACCGCTTAATTTGTTCTCCGAATTTCTTATATATTTTGGTCTTGTACCAATAAGTTTTAATTACTAGGGCTATTCAATAGTCTGCTAAAGGAGAAATGCAAAATTTATCATCTATTAAATAAACGATTTACTTATTTAAATATTCTTAAGAACTTATTTGAAATATAAACCTTTATTAATATTCACATTTTTGTTGCTATTAATTATCTTGTTGTAACTCAGTGATGTTTTAGAGGACCTTCAACCTCTTCTTCGCGAATCGATTGATCGGAAACAGGAAAGTGTAAGGCGCAGACGCAGACGAGATGGTCTTCGATTGGCCCTTGTTCGCATCCTTTCCTTGATGGCACAGAACTCAGTCTTTGCATTTAGGTTAGTTTTCTTTCATTCCTCATGCTTGATTAATTGGCGAATTTATTCTGAACTATCACCATAAAGGCTTAGTTAAAGTTTTAAACTTGTAATTGCTGCTACATACTTTCGCTCGTAATTCCCCTAAATCTTGCTATCCATTGCTCGTAACCTTTTTGTTTGCACGAAGGTATGAAGACGAAGATGGTGTGGCCTTTTGTGTGGTCGCAGTCTCCTTTCGTTGTATAAAAGTTGTTTGACCTTGTTTTCG